AGAGCCGCTGGGATGGTGTATCTTTTTTTTTACAGTGACGTCATCCTGTCTCAGATGCCCCGCGGTTCTTCACGGACGCAGCCCCGTCCGTGGGTTTTGGGGGTTTTTCCAGGACCAGTGGTTCGCCGGGCCCCGGCCCGACGCTTTCCCTCGACGTCATTGAAATAATTAACAGAGGTAGTTCATCCTCTCCCCAAATCACATCCTCCTTAGACGCATCACATGGCTCTCAGTCCTGAACAATTTATCATCACTGCTCGTCACGTCCCTCGTCACCTAACTGTATTGCTGACTCTCTCTCTCACTTTAAATTCCAGGAGTTCTGACGCCTTTGCCCTTCTGCCAATCCATCGCCATGCCAGATCCCCTGCACGGAATCCCTCGCCCTGGTCTAGTCCCTCCGTCTCTTCACCTTCTCTCCTCCGCTGCATCCTACATGAAAATGGGCTTCTTACGCATAAACAAATTCACAAACTCTCACGCCACCTTTAATGCATCCCGAGACATCGCCTTCTCTGACCCGTCATATTATCCCGACTACTTCAACCTCCACCTCAAGCATTCCAAACGCAAAGGCGCTTGCAATATAGTCATAGCTCGGTCTGACACTTCTCCCTGTCCCTACAGATCCATGATGCATTACACTCGCCTCCGCTCTCGGAAAGGAGATCTCAACGGACCGTTATTTCTTACTCCCGATCACCTCCCAACGTCATCCAACTGGTTCAGAGCCCAACTCAAGTCCGTACTGCTGCTTTGTAACCTGTCTCCCCATCTCTACACAGCCCACTCCTTCCGGATAGGCGCCGCCACGCGCGCCGCGTCCCTGGGGCTCCCCCATTCCGCCCTCCAGCAGCTGGGCCGCTGGTCATCATCGGCCCTCTCCTCATACATCAGGCCTGACACTTCGTCCATTCTGGCAGCCCAGCACCTTTTGGCATCTCCATAAAACACTCGCTAAACTTCCTGGTGGCGGCAGCAGCTGAGTATCCGCAAGTAATGGTCTCAGTAGATAGCGGTCACAGTAGATAGCGGTCACAGTATATAGCGATAGCGGTCACAGTATATAGCGATAGCGGTCACAGTATATAGCGATAGCGGTCACAGTATATAGCAAAAAATGGTTAGACCATAACGGTCGTCAGCATATAGCGATAGCGGTCACAGTATATAGCGATAGCGGTCACAGTATATAGCGATAGCGGTCACAGCATAGCGATAGCGGTCACAGCATAGAGCAGTCTCGACGTTCTGTCCCCTCCAAACCAGGCTGCAAAACTCCATCAACACACAGCCTTTTTGGGGATTGGCGCGCTCCATCGCAGGAGCCTTTCCGATCTGAAGGCCGCACCGGGGCCTAGGGCGCCAAACCTCCTCCCAATAAAATACTCAAAAGCTTCTTGTTTTCTCGTCTCTCCAAATTGAAATGCAGCCCGCGGAAATTCAATTTGGTAGACGTCAGCCAAAGTTACCCCCTCCAGGCCGGTTCACATCCCCAGAAACGCCCCCTTCCAATCACCCGTGCCGGCCAGGCAGCCGCTTAAAAGCGGAGAAACTCCCACTTCACGGCCTCCTGAAGCCTTGCAACCACCGCCTCCCCTCCTCCTCCTCTTCACCCTGCCTCCAATCCGCCTTCAATCTGCTTCCCGCTGCCAAAATGCCGCCACCAGTGCCTAGGTCCCGGGGGATTGGCGCGCTCCATCGCAGGAGCCTCTCCGATCTGAAGGCCGCACCGGGGCCTAGGGCGCCAAACTTCCTCCCAATAAAATACTCAAAAGCTTCTTGTTTTCTCGTCCCTCCAAATTGAAATTAGTTGAATGAACAAGCAACAGTTCAAACTCTCCATCGTCCGTCCATACCTATTTTCTAGTACCGCCTCGCCCACTCGCCATGTTGTCTGTTTACAAAAGTTTCCGCGCATTGCCCAGAGTTTGGGCTGATCCCGTCCATTGCGTCACAGCGCCACCAAACGGTTCTCGCCGTAGTTTCACAGCGTTTTCACGGGGGGGGGCGTTTATTGACTACATTCATATGGACGCCACACATTTACCTGAAGTAACTGTCGTGTTTACAGAAAAAGTTTCTTGAAATTTATAAGCGTTTTGTCTTCGTGTGAGATTTAGCCTTAGAGCAGCAAATGGCTGAAATATGCAATTTCAGTCTTTTTGGACAATTCTCATCCCTGTAACAAAAAACAGTATTGTCTGTGTCCCCTCCCTCACTCTGAGACATGTTTCAATACATCTCTTGTTAATGTAGACTATTGCATTTTAATATTTTATTGTGAAACTGCACATATCCTGATCCTCTACAGTATTTGCTTCCACATACTTGTATAACCTGGAGTCGGCAACCTGCGGGGATCTTCCGGAGTGCATGCGTTTCTTTTCCTTCGTAGAAGGAAAAACGTTCTTAACGTTTTTAAATTGCTGTAAAATTGTGCATAAGTAATATTCACTTTAAAATTCTGTCAACGTTGTGCGTTTATCCTTGCGAGTAGGCCAGCGCCAGGCGGCGCGGTTGTAAACGAACCGGCATAGTGAGCTCGGCTTGTGTACAAGTCTCTCCATGCCTCGCTCCAAAATATACTAGTGACATGTTAGTACCATACAACCAGCCCTGACTCTGAGGAAGCACAGGGACTAGACTTCTGCTGGGACTCTGAGGAGCACAGGGAAGGATCTGTTAGTGCCCAGACGGTCAGAACTTAAACAACGGGAGGCTTGCTGTTCAGATTTCACTCATCCAGAATCATTTTCTTCTCTTTAAACCATTTCTGGTCAGGGGGGTGCTGCTAAAATCTGACCCTTCTGGAACAATCTTCAGTGGGTGGCTGAACAGATGTGAGACAGGCCATCAGTGGGAGTCGGTGGAGAAGGTGCAGAGGTCTCTGACAATGTTTCAGATTCCAAACTGGATACCGTCTTCCTGAGGTTAAAGCGCCTCCTCTTGACAATGTTTAAAACAAAAGTTAAAGGACTGTTCTGTTTAGCTGTGCATACAACTGAGGGGATTTTTATATTTTTATCTTTCTTTTTAATGTTCTGTGATTATTTAGAATTTTTCTTATTTTTTGTTCAGCACTTTGGATTTTAATGCTTTAAATAAACTTGTTTTGTTCAGCACTTTGACTCGGAAAGAATTGCCTTGTGTATGACTAATGGAATGAGAAAGTTTCTATATTAAAAACTGGAATGGGGTCGCCTGGATGGGGGTGATGGGGTGGTCAAAACGACGCCTTCATTTGCATTTTTAAAGAGACAGCTACCAAACAGGTTGTGCTCTCAGACCGCAACTCAGAAACAGGTGTGTAGAGAAAAAAGGCCCATGGGAGCTACAAATAATGAAATCAGACCCAGGCCATTGCAGATAGTTTATATTGGCCACAATATGAATGTCGATTTAGATGTAAAATCAATTTATTTGGAAAAAACGATATGTCCACTTTAAGTATTAGGAACGTTTTTCCCCAATAATTAAAAAAAAATGTGTCTGGATAAAAAAATCAATGATTGCATCTTTAAGAAGTTGTTGAAGATGTTACAAACTTTAAAGTACACATCATCTGCAGCGCGAGTAGGATTCTGTGGGGCTCACATTATACCGTTCACTAACTGCTTAGTGTCTTATTATTTATCAGAAAATGCTCACACCTCGTTACGGTTACTTTCTGCTGTAAAACAGTCTTTGACCTAGTCTGTCTCTGCACTTCTCCAATGGAACGCATACTCAGAACACAAAAAAAATTGGTCCGCCGTAACGGCCGACGTTAAACACGCCCGTACTAACTATATTTTTTAAAACCCAACATTACACTCTCGCCCCGCAGCGGCTAGTAATCCCTCTCTTGATTGGGTCCTCTCTAGAGGCCTGGGGCTTGGCGGTTTCCTGGAAGTCTTTGCTGTTCCTAGCACTGTACACTCGGCGCGCGCGAACCAAGATTTCAAGCTTGCTCCGCAAGATTCCAAGTCCTTGGTTTTTCTCAACTTTTCGTGTCCACCCCACGGTCTTTCTCTTGGCCTTTTGTCTACCACCACAATCGTCAGGTTGGTTTGCAATTACAATTCGTCCGGCTTGTATCTGGAAGTCACGGATGCTTCGCACACTCATTCTCACCACCTTTGGAGGAGATTCCCACTTCAGACCATGGGTTTCCGCCCATACTCTGCACAGATGTTTCTGTAAACACTATGCCCAGCATTGTTATGGCGTTCCATGTAGCCCCTCCCTGCCAGCATCTTGCACTTGCAGTATGTGTTGGATTGTCCTCAGGCCCTCTCCTTTGCACAACTGACACCTTGGGTTTGTCTGGTGTGGTAGCATACTGGGCCTCTATCACTCTGGTGCTCAGGGACTGTCTACCTGTGCAGACACGCCTTTTCAATCAATAGGACTTCTAGGAGATCAGCCATTCTGTTATACTCGAGTAGTACATGCGTGTATGGGCTTGTCTCCCATGATGGTGCTCTCTTCCAGCACTCCTCATTCGCAATACTGCCTGAGAACATTCACTGAGTATGTCATCCGTTTTGGCCTTCTCCATGATGTAGTTTTGAAGTTTGGTTGTTTCGTCTGGACAGTGGCTCTCACATCCACTAGTCCTCGCCTTCTTCATTACGGCTTCTTTACGTACAGTTCAGGGTGCTAGATTTGGGATGGAACCGCATGCTAATGGTCATAATCAGAATCATTTTTATTGCCACGTAAGTAACAGGGAAGTCACAGACTGGAATTGCTTTGGCCTCAGTGCAACAGTTCAGAAAGAGATAAAAATAAAGAACAAAAAACACTTCTAAGGAATAATTTAAATTTAAAATAGAGTTTACAGTTACTTTTTACAATACAAGTTGCAATGGTTGCAACAATGTAAGGGTGACAGCAGTACAGTGAAGTAAAGTGACGTATGATGTGACTTTATAAAGGGCGGGGGGGGGACAGGTTAACGAAGTGTTCAAGAGTCCAACAGCAGAGGGAAGAAAACTGTTTTGTTGGCGGGAGTTCTAGTCCTGATGGTACGCAGTCTCTCTGCCGAGGGGAATGTAGGTCTGGAATAGTCCCATGTGCAGGTCGAGAGGAGTCGGCTGAGATGAAGCCCAGCCGGCTCGAGCTCGGGCGACGTACAGGTCCTGCATCGATGGAAGGCTGCGGCCGATCACTTCCTCTGCAGAGCGCACAATGCGCTGTAGTCTCTGTTTGTCCCTGACTGTGGCTCCAGCGAACCTGACTCGGTGATGGAGGGTGGTGAGGATGGACTCGATGATGGTGCGTTTAGAACTGCACCCACATCAGTCAGGCAGCTTGGCTTTCGCCTGCGCTGCCGCAGGAAGTACATCCTCTGCTGGGCCCTTTCTTGCTGAGGGAGCTAGATTGTCTGCTCCCACTTGAGGGTCCTGGGTGATGGTGGGCCAGGAAACGGAAGGAATCCACAGATGTGATGGGGGTAGCTCCATCACGGAGGGAGGTGGCAGGGGGGCAGGGAGGACAGTGCTTCTCTCCTGAAGTCCACAATATCTCCACTGTCTTCTGGGCGTTCAGTCCAGGTTTTTCCACTGCAACCAGGGACACAGCCGGTCCACCTCTCTGTAGGCTGACTTCATCGATTGGTTGGAGATGGAGTCAATGAGGGTTGGGTGTCGTCACGAACTTGATCAGCTTCACGGAGTAGTGGCTGGAGGTGCAGTGGTGGTGTATAGGGAGAAGAGCAGGGGAGATAAGACACATGGTGAGGAGCATTCCAGGTTTAATAATCTGTGTCAGACTCTGGGGGGCAATAGTGGCTCACTTGCGTGCTTGGAGCATGGCCTGAGGTCGTGGGTTCTGCTGTTGTTGTGTCCTTGTAAAGACACTTTTTAACCCCACTTTGCCTGAAGCCCCGCTGAAAGACCGAGGTCCTGTTGACCTCACCACTGCAAGCGAGGATCATAGTGAGGGCTGGGTGGGCTATGCTGAATTGGTGCAGCTCTCACTGCTACCCCAACCCAGAAAGGGATTACTAAGGGACCAAGAAAATGGGATGCGTATGGACTGGATGGTGATCTGAATCTCACTCTTTAGATACCACTTTGATTATTCCTGACAGGGTATCTGTTTCACTGGCAGGGAGGTAGCTGTAATTGCCTGAGCCTTATGTTCTCGCCCATTCCAGTGAGTCGCGCATCTTGGGATCCTGCCTTTCTCTCTGGAGGTATTTGGCAGTTGCCGCTTTCCCGTTGCCTGTTCGAGGCAACTTGCAGACTCTTTCTCCACGTCTGCTATTGGTCCCTCTGGGCAGTAAGATCCCTTCTGTGTGGACTACGCATTCAGGAAGTTTACACTGTTGGAACAACAGACACGCTGGTTTTAGTTTGCAGTCGCCAGACCGGAGTGATTTGGAGCATGTTGGATCGTGCTATCTTAACTTTAGCATGCTGAGTGGAATCGAGCTAAAACTTATAATTTTCAACCTGAATGGGAGGAAGAATATTTTTTTGTTTATTCTCATTCCAAAGGCTATTTGTCTGAGCTCCAATGCGACGCTGGCAATTGGCACAAGAAAGCCAAACCTGGAGCATCATTTTCAAACGTACACAAGGAGCTAAGTGAGGATTTGAAAGGCCAGATCTATTTCTCCACGGGCAGTCTCATTTTCACAAACTCCCGAATATAAAAGCCGCAATATTGCTTTCCTTATTGTGTCAGCAATATCCTCGTTAAACACAAGAATGCTTTCAGACGGAGACATGATGAGAAGAGGCTTTTCTGCTGATCTAGCGAGACAGCCTATTTGCGTGACTTCAAAAAAACAAACCAGAGATCACCAGGGCAATAAAAAACGTTTGAAACTGTACCGCACATACTGTTACAAGACGATGCAAAGGTATGTTGTGGATGTGGAGGAGCAACCCTCCGAATGAATTATAGTATAGACATGTGTGAGTTGCTGTTCCTTTCAGTTCGATGAGTCAACAGATTACTAATTTGATCGCAATTGTGTGTTTTTCATCAGATTGGTTTTTTTGAAGAACCATGAGGGCCCAAAGAAGGGATTCTCTCCATTTTGCTAAAGAAAGGACACACCAGAGGGAGGACATTTTTTAAGGCGATCATAGGAATTTGTCACAAGATAACACAATTCATGCGGTAAAGTAAAAAGCTCAATATATAAAAAAAACAATAATAATTGTCAGTCAGTCATATACACAGCTAAAAAAGAACGGTTTTCAGCTTAGACTTAAATAATGCTAAAGATGAGGCCTCCCGTACATCCTCAGGAAGGCTGTTCCAGATTTTTGGGGCATACACCTGAAATGCAGCCTCTCCATGCCTAGTCCGGACTCTGGGCACCATCAGGAGTCCAGTCCCTGTGCTCCTCAGAGTCCGAGTTGGCTCATACGGCACCAACATGTCACCAATGTACTTCGGTGCAAGACCATGTAGAGACTTGTACACAAGCAGAGGTGCTTTAAAATCAATTCTCTGAGCCACAGGAAGCCAGTGCAGAGACCTGAGGACTGGACTAATGTGGTCGTACTTCCTGGTTCTAGTCAGGACTCGAGCTGCTGCATTTTGGATGTACTGCAGCTGTTTTACAGCCTGTTTGGACAGACCTGTGAGCAGGCCATTGCAGTAGTCTAACCTACTGGAGACAAATGCATGGATAAGTTTTTCCATATCTGATTTAGACAACATATTTTTAATTTTGGCAATATTTTTTAGATGATAGAAGGCTGCTGATGTTATAGATTTTATGTGCCTATCAAATTTAAGGTCAGAGTCCATTACTACCCCAAGATTTCTTACTTCATTTGTTGGTTTTAAGGAGAGAGACTGGATGTAACTGTTAATACTTTCTCTTTGTTTTTGTGGGCCAAAAACAATAACTTCAGTTTTATCTGGGTTAAGTTGAAGGAAATTGTTTTGCATCCACTCACTGATCGTTTGAATGCACTGGCAGAGGGGAATGTATTGGTCCATATTCCCCTGCAGTAAGTGAAACATATAATTGGGTGTCATCTGCATAATTGTGATAGGACACATTGCTTCTGTGGATTAGCTGGCCTAGTGGCAGCATGTAGATATTAAATAGGAGAGGCCCCAGGATTGACCCTTGGGGCACTCCACATGTCAGTGCCATATGATCTGAAGCACAGTCTCCTATTTCTACAACATACATTCTGTCCTGCAGGTAGGACCTACACCAATCAAGGGCAGTACCAGAAATACCCACCCACTTTTCCAGTCTCTCCAAGAGGATTTCATGATCAACCGTATCAAAGGCCGCACTCAAATCTAATAGAACTAACACTGAAGTGTTCCCAGCATCAGTGTTCAGTCGAATATCATTAGTCACCTTTATTAGTGCAGTCTCAGTGCTATGGGACGGTCTAAATCCAGACTGATGCACATTGAATATGTTGTTGACTAACAAAAAATCCATGAGTTGTTGATGAACAACTTTTTCAAGTATCTTTCCCAGAAATGGCAGATTTGAAATTGGTCGATAATTTTGCAGTACTGTGGCATCAAGACTGCTTTTCTTTATAAGAGGCCTGATGACTGCGACTTTAAGAGCCACAGGAAAAGTTCCTGATTGAAGGGATAAATTGATTATTTCAGTGAGGACTGAGAGAAAACTGCCTACCACTAACTTAAAAAACCTAGTGGGCAAAACATCAAGGCTACAAGTTGACGTGCTCATGCTGGAAACTATATTCTGGACTGTATTGTTGTTGACAGTAAGGAAATTAGGGAAATCATACTCTCGAGTTGGATTTAAGATTTCTGTTTGTGGGACAGGAGTGATTGTGTTTTTTATTCTCTGTATCTTTTCATTGAAAAAATAAGCAAACTCGTTGCACTTAGCAGCTGTATTAAACCCTAGTGGCAACTGAGAAGGTGGATTTGTTAATCTATTTACTGTTGCGAACAGGACACGAGAGTTATTTACATTACTAGCTATAATTTCAGAAAAATGCCTTTCCCTCGTTCTACATAACATGTCATTGTAGCATTTTAGTTTTGTCTTATAGATCTCATGGTGATCTTGGAGCTTGGACTTGCGCCACCTGCGCTCAGCCCTCCGGCACTGTCTTTTTTGTTCCCTAACAGCAATTTCATTCCTCCATGGTGCTTTTGGTTTGCTGGTAACCAACTTAGTCGTCATGGGAGCAATGGTTTCGATCACAGATAAAACACTCCGACTAAAGTTGTTAAACAAATCCTCAACATTGGAACACTCCGTAATATCAAAATGTAACATTTCTATGAACTGTGGACCAGTGCTTTCATTTATATGTCTTCTACGAACTATAGCAGGACCTTCTGGTGGCTTAGGCAGAAAAGACAGGTCAAAGAAAACACAGAAGTGATCGGACAGACATATATCAACAACGCGCACATTTGACACATTAACCCCTCTTGTGATTAAAAGGTCTAAGATATGTCCTTTGCTGTGAGTGGGATCACGCACATGCTGAAATAGACCAAAGGTTTCCAATAAAGAGTTGAGCTCTTTGGTATCTTTATTACCAACAACATCCATATGGATATTTAAATCACCTGTAATGACAATGGCATCAAAATCTACGCAAATAACTGACAACATCTCAGTAAAATCATCTATAAAATTTGGGCTGTGCTGGGGGGGTCTATATACGATTAGGAAGAGTATGGGAGGAGATTTTCCCTGTTCCATTTTAAAGGAAACGTACTCAAAAGAAGAAAAGGCCCCAAGTAAAAGCTTGTTGATACAAAAAACCTGTTTAAAAAGAGCACACACGCCTCCACCTTTACGATTTTCTCGTGCCTCAAATTCAAATTTAAAATTAGGTGGGGCGGATTCTATTAAAACAGTATTAGCGTTCTTTTTATCGAGCCATACTTCTGTTAAAAACATAAAATCAAGCTCATATGAAGAAATAAAATCATTAATTAAAAAGGACTTATTACAAATAGACCTGACATTAAAAACAGCAAGTTTCAGGCCCTTTTTTACATCAGTAGACAGAATCTTTGTAATAGGGACAGGAATTAAATTCCTCTGATTAGGCGTTCTCACCAGTTCACCATTTAATTTAGGTCTGGGTCTCGTCTTCAAGCAGGGAATGTGATTAATGGCGTGTTGGACTATGTTTGGTACAGTGGAGGAGTAAGGTGGAACATCCAGTTGTGCAGGGCCAGGCAGACAGGGGTCAGTGTACTCACCCGGTGCAAGCGAGGAAGACGTAGAGCTATGTGCGCCTGGAAGGGGCTGCGATGTAAACAGTCATTTGCTTCTCGGAGTCCACTGTACAACGTGACGTAGGTAGTCTATCAACAAGCTTGTGCCAAACTTATTTGGATGCAAGCCATCAGGGCGGTACGCTACATGACGTCTCCAAAATAAGCCAAAATTATTTACAAACACAAAGTTAAAAGAGCTGGACATTGACTGGATCCACAGATGTAGCGCTGCAACACGACTGTAGAAGCAGTCGCCTCGGTTTATAGACGGGATTGGACCAGAAATAAACACAGACAATCCAGAGGATTGGAGGAGGCGGAACAGGTCCATAAAGTGCCTCTTAGTGATTTCGGACTGTTGTAGTTTCACGTCATTGATCCCCACATGCACGATCACCTTTGAAATGGTATCGGGCAGGGATTTAAGCAGAGGGGGGAGACGGATGAGCAAGTCTGGCACAGTAGCTCCGGGGAAAAAGTGAGTGACCGCGTTAAAAAAGCGGACATGTCTCATGATGGAATCCCCAACAATC